ATTTTGAATCGATCTGATGACTGGGCTAAATGGTTATTGTGTTATCATCGGGCCAAGGCTTGAGTATTATAGTCTTACAGTGAACGTGTCAATAAGTCATTGATTATGGTTTGCGTATAGTTTTATTCATTTGGTCTGGTGGATCCAGGATTGTGCCTAGAGAAGGGGCGGGGAATGGGAACAAGCAAACAAGCATTGCCTCACGAAATATTTTAATACTGTTAAAACAATAGTCGAGGCAATTGACTTCATTGCATAGGAAAGAAAATTGCCTTATCCCTAGTTTTGTCCCGTGCCACTCATAATAATTTTTTGATGTTTATTTTGTTTGTTTTAATCTGTTGTTGTTTCTCGCGTGGCTGTCGATATAAAGATCAATGTTTCTCTTTTCACTTTGCTCTTACTAAATTGATTGCCTATGCTATAACAAATATGTCTGAGGGCAGTTGTATTGGTGTGGTTTGTTAACCAATACTAATTATATTAATTATTTTATGTTTCAATAAGGAATTTCAATAGCATTGAAACATCATTTCGAAGGAAATCATTTATTTTACATATCTTATTTTTTATGTTATCCACATTATAAAGATAAAGTATAGCTATTCTTGGAAGTTTTACAGAACTTTGCAGTAACTATAGCGTTAAGTCCTTTTCTGATAATTTCAGAAATGCTGGTTTATTGACTGTGTCGGAGTTATCGCATTGAGTGTAGACTATGGGAAGCACTCCGTCTAAGCCCTCCTCTGGGGGGAATGCCCCCCAGGCCAGGCAAGCCCCAGGGAGGCCCCAAGTCGTGCGAGTTCAGCCTAACACACGTGGGCAAATAACATATATACCACCAGCACAACCTCAGCCGCAAGTAATGTGTATTACGACGGTAAGGATAAAGACTCTGGTCTTCTATTTTTTACCATCTACTTTTCATCTAATAATTGCACGATATTTGTTTCAAATATTTTATGTTGCTGTAAGTGTTTTTTGGTTTTTGGTTTTTTTTAATTTTGTGAAAGAGTGATAAAGTTTAAGATTGATACAATAAATAAATGTGCGCCAAGTTATTCAACGTTTTCATTTTCAAACCAGTGCTTATTTATCTGTGTTTGGGTCAGGAGATAGTGTGTTGCTGTGTACATATAGTGACTTGTCCTTGATAAAAGATGCACTCGTGATAAATTGTTTTAAGCTATCGATTCAGTTGCAAAGGGAATCATAGTTATAGCGCACTGTACTATCGGATACTAAGGGTTGTGGCTGATATGTGCTTATTCAGCTTAAATACAAGTACTTGCAATTTTTCTAATAAATCTGACATGCATTGGTGCATAGGAGAGAGGACAACAGTGACGGGTCAGTTAAAAAGAAAGTGCACATAATTTTATCACAAATACAATTTTCTTTAATTCCTCGATTTACAAAGCGCCTGGTAGATCAATATTATCAGTGACCGACAAAACGTTTTTTTAATATCTAAACAGAATCAGCAAAACAACATGATGCAACAGCAGCAGCAGCCTCGTATGCCGTACTACCCACAACCTATGCCGTACGGATACCGACATCCACAGCCGTATTACCGACCGCCGTACCCGCCTCGTCCATATCTGCCACCGCGGCCCCCTCAGCCACCGCCCTATCAACCTAGGCAGCCTGTCAGCACCGTCCCTGCAACGAGCAAGGAAGCACCGGTGAAGGCTGAGACGCCCGTGCGTAGCTCTCAAGTGTCCGTGAATGTGACGTCAACGTCAGACTCTCCCGTACCCAAAAAACCACGGAGAGATTCCGTGTTGAAGAAAGCACCAATTCCAAAGCTTGTGTATGAAAATCTCGACGAGACCCCGCCACCAAAGCCTACAGTGCGACGGAAAATTGAGATATTTGAGAAGAAGAAATATGAATTTATTGACAAAAGATCAACACAGGTAGGTTATTTTTATTTAAGGACTTAATTCATTTTTTTTTTTTTTTTGACAAAATACAACAAAGAAAATTTCTTTAAAAATTAACGAAAAAATTGCAATGTTTGGATAGCATTGGTTTCTGTCTCGGTGGAGTTTGCAATCACTCTAATCCTAAAAGGCAATTGATTAGTTGGACATACTCTTACTTATGGCCCTATGAAACATTATTGAATGTTGCTTTGTAATGTCCAGGTTGAGAATTCGTTGCTAGAGTCAAATCTAGAAGCTTTGGTCAAGTATTTAACAGAAGGCCCATGGGGAGATTTAGGGAAGGTTAGAGCTATCTTCTGGTGGCTGACGTCTGTGGATGTTAATGACGTCGAAAAACTTATGACGTCAGCAGATTCTCTTCCATCTACCAACACACCGCTGGATTACCTTTGCAGAATAAAGTGGAATAAGGGTTGTCATGCCCATTTGTTTGCATGGATGTGTAGGTAAGGACATGTTAATACTACGCACATATACATGTATATTGCACATACCATAAGTGCTGCCCAGTGGTAATGAATCTATGCCCTTATATTAAAATATATAAATAATTATTTTCCTAGAATAAAACCAGAGATTTAAGAAAAGAAATAGGTCCACATGTTTATATTTTCGTTCTGCTCAGCAGTTATATTCACTATAATCTAAGAAAGACTAAACAATAAAGCAACCTTTAAGATAATTATAAGACATGGATTCGAATACGTTGCATCTCCCCTTCAGATGCGCTCAAGTGCCTTGCGAAATTATCACTGGTGTAAATAAAAGTTCGGCCTACACCTTGGGGGAGGCCGTGCAACCCGATAAGATGCGTGGACAGTGGAATGCGGTTTATGTTGAAGACGAGTGGCACCTGGTGGACGTTTTCTGGGCGTCCACGTGCGTAGTTGGCCAGGGGAAATCTGAGTGGCAATTGCTGGAAAATGATGGAAGGGTGAGAAATAATAGTGAAAATTAAAATCTGTAATACAAGATTGATATGTCTTAGGCCTATTAGAACATTGCAAACCTTGCAGCATTCCTAATGTTCTGTAGATGAAAAAAAATATAAAAATTGCTGTAACTTGATGGAATGTCAACCTTTTTGTAGGCTATCAGAAATGAAGAGGAAGAAGAAGAAGATCAGTTAGCTGAAGAAGAAATCAAACACTGGACGAACGAGTTTTATTTTTTGACCGACCCTTCTGCTCTCATTTACACTCACTTGCCTGACGATGCAAATTGGCAACTTCTGTCAGATCCTATTAGTTTTCAAGACTTCGAGAAAGCTGTGTATCTGAGAGAACGGTTCTTTGAAATGGACTTATCAATGAACGACCGCAGTCAACGTCAGTGTGTATTGCAGACCACGGAAGGCGAAATCAGCATAGAATTTTCGTTCAAACCCAAAAGTGGGTTGGTGTTTATGTACAGAATATCCAAATCATTAAAAGGCTTCGCCGATGGTGATGATGAAGATGATGATGAAGAAGAAGAAAAGGAAGTCCATAACAGACTCGAAAATTTCGTTTTTGTCGAAAGTTCCCGGCGGAAAATCCGATACACCGTGGGTCTGCCGATTACAGGCAGGTTTAAAATGGACATTCACGGAAAAGCCAAGAGAAAGCATGAAGATTTCAAGCTCGTCTCCTCGTACATTATAGATTGTCCCGAGGCAAAGAAGAAATGCGAGCCTCTTCCAGATAACCCAGAGATCGGCTACGGCCCCAATGAGGAAACAGAGGAGGTCGGAATGGTACCAACCACTCACGATCAAGCTGTCATCGAGACTAGCGACGGTACCTTGGAAATAAAATTTGACTGCACAGTAGGCGTTGACTTAGAACACAGTCTGGTCAGCAACGGCATGGATGAGCACGCTCTTAAGGATTACGTCACCACCAGGAACGAAAACGGGGTAGCCACCGTCAACGTGCGCCTTCCTAAAAAGGGGGAGTATGCTCTTAAGATAAATGCCATTGGAGAAGGCATGCTAGGAGACGTGCCAAATGTGTGTAATTATCTCATCCGTTGCAGTAACGATAACCCCGACATCAAGCCCTTCCCCAAACTCAACACGGGCATTCTAGGCAAGGATGCACTCAGTGACAAGTTGGGGGTGTCCTGTACCAGCCATCCCGGGGGTCTGATTAACACCGACCAGGGAGAGGTGACGGTAGAATTCCAAGTGGGTACCTCCATTGAATTGTTCTGCGAGGTTCATCACGCCGATGTGCCCGACGAGGTCTTGCAGAAGCTTCTACGTCGTCGTAATATTGATGAAAACAACGTGGCTTTCGACCTGGGTCTGCCAAAAGGCGGGGAATACTCGTTCAACATCCTGGCTTGCAGAACTAACGAAAACTCTCCTCGGCTCTTCAATGCCTACAACGCCCTTATTGTGTCTTCGGCTGAAAACATGGATCTCGAAGAGTTCACCGATCTTGACGCTCCCGAGGGGGAGGCAGTACCAGTTGCCGCAGAACCAGAAAAGAAAGAGGTTGTGAATCCTAAAGTTGAATACAAGCTAGAGGAAGAGATGTGGAAAAATAAGCGAATCACAGACATGTTTGCGGAGTTAAGGCGAAAAAATGCTCACGATGCATTCGACACCCATCAGGTAAGAGGTCTCAGGCGTGCTTAGGGCAGATTAATACATGCGCTGACATGGGCATTATCTCACGTATAGGTTTTCATTGGTGTAGTATTGAATGTTATTACTCTTTATTTTTATTCTGTCAATAATTTGTCAAAGGGTAGGGGAGGGGGCATATTTGTGGGTTCAACCAGTAATGTCTACCAATCTTTTTTCTTTTTCAGGTCTCCTTGGGTTGTAACGAAAAGGGGGAATCAGTCGTCACCCTCGAGATGGGAAAAGACGGAGAATTTACACTCAATTTCTTTGAAAGAACTCAGGAGAACGCCATTACCAAAGTACAGGCCTGGACTCTTACGAAAAAACAGCCGTCATTCGAGGTTAGTTTGCTGTGGTTTTCTGAATAAGTAACTGGCCTTTTTTTAAATGAAATTTGTGTTCTCTCTTCATCGGCGCTTTAGAACAACATGTATCTCATTTGCACATTTTAAATTATAAAGACGTTTGAAACCATGTATTGCTTGTTTTTAATATACATTTTTATATTTCTTTATAATAAGGATGAGCCAGATTTCGTGGAGGATGCGGCAGATGAAGAGGAGAGGAAGCGAGGTATTTTATACATGTACAATATAACAATATCTACTATCCGTGATTGATGGAGAAAAGAATTGTTAACTATAAATGCACATTTTGTACCAGTTAAAGCCACAGACATATAGTTATCGTTTTCATTTTAGAAATACACGTGAAATGCCTGTTTTTGAATATTAGAGTTTCACATACGACTAGACATCTGTCAAAATATAGATCTAGCTGGTATAATGATTAATTAGCAGTAAATCGGTGTTGATTTGGCAATAAAGGGCGTCAATCTTCGGGGAAGTGCATAAAGGCCTTTTTAGGAGATATGCCATTGAAGTAGTCGCTATTCTTTTTTCAATCTAAAAATCGATCTGCATATAGTGCTTCCAACGAATGGGTAATTTGAAATAGACATTGGTCGTAATGAGGACGTAAATAAGGAAACGCACGCCAAGTCCGTTTTAGTGCAGAGTTACCGCCAACATTTCAGTTTTCTTTGCCTTGAAAGTGAACCCGTTCTTTATTTCACCTGTCACATTTGGTAATCATCAAACGTGTACATAATACCAGGATTTTGTATTCAAACCTCAGTGATATAACTGATCAGAAATGTAGTATATATATTTTATGCGTCTGTTGTATTCTGTTTGATTTCAACTCTCCTTGTGTTCTATTTTGCCAATTAGTGTAGAGGGCTGGCAAATTATTATTATTGTTGTTGTTGTTGTTATTATTATTATTATTATTATTATTATTATTCAAAATTCCCAGCCGAGTACCACCAGCTCCTCCGCCGCACTTTGAAGCAAGAAATGGGACGAGATCCAATTCGAATTAAAGAACTTGGAGACGCTATTGAGGAATATAAGAATAACGATGTCCAAGACCCCGAAGACTATGCACAAAAGGCTACCGACCTTCTTAACTTCCACAAGGCAAAAGAAGGTAAGTTAAAACCTGGGAGAGCATAGGTAATATGGAGTTTTGCATTGACTTTGAATGCGTTAAGATGGTCAAAAACGTCCTTGGTTGAACCTTTGTAAACATTATAGTACTATACATGTTTACATCATATTTTAAAAACAAAAGAACTCGGGAATTTATCAGTCCAAATGAAAAGTGAATGAAAGCAGGAAAATATGTTTTGTCTTCTTTATTGTTTTCAGTTTCATCGAATGAAGAGAAAATTCTTGTTGATTAATACAAAATTAGTTTAAACTACAGCAATTGTGTTCCATAAATGTTTCAGACCTTGTCAGTGCCATGAAGAGACGCCATCTTGACGACCTGGAGAAAGCTCTTTCACAAGGCGCCGTGAACAACCTAAATCACGAGATGGACAAACTACTCGAGTTGGGGACAAGGATATTTGAAGAGCTGACCAACCTCGATCTACTAAAGAAAGAAGTAAGGGCATTCCTTCAAATGTTTTGCTTCTTGTTGTATTGGCTCAAGTTTGACTAAATTGTTGAAGACGAGGTCGTTCATGAAAGATAGATCTGTTTTCGTACACGCTCTGCATTTTTTCCACGTGTCATCTGGTTAGTTTAGTTTTTTTTTTTTAAATCTTGAAGAGACGTTTAATAATAGCAAATTATTGATGAAATCGAAATCGAATCGAATTTTTGCATTTAATTATGCCGATATATGTCGATTCTATTATTACCACTGTTTTGATCCATTTTTATTCGACTTCAAATGTAACTTTTGATAAAGGACAGTAATAACATATTTACAGGTGGACAAGCTGAACCAGAAGACCATCGCGGAGATAAAGGCGTACAACCATCCGTCCAATACTATCCATCAAATCATGATAGCTACCTTCATGCTACTGGGACATGATGAAAAAGAACTCCAGGTAAAATGGAAAGCTAGACAAAAACTGTGTAACATATTTAGGGCTGTGTGTCAACCAAGTTACAAAAGACGCAGTTGAGTAAATTTGAAATTCGTGATTCCATTAAAAATTACAAGTCGGCGAAATCGTCCTACTGAAGGGTGGGAGTGGGATTCGTCCCAGGGTAAATATAGCAAATATAGCAATTTACCCCGCGTTTAGCTCAGTATGTCTGTCTAAAACCTAGATGAGTAAATCCCAGGTTGTCTTTGATAAGGGATAGGGCAAGTCTTTTACCCAAAATACAATTATTTTTTATTTTTTTAAAAATAAAATCTTTCTCGAAATTCCAGAGCTGGCAGAAGGTTCGTGCGCTGCTCGCTGAGCATGTTAAAGAGAAGATCAAACAGTTCGACGTGACCAACCTGACCATCGACACTGCCCTGAACGCCAAGAAACTCCTGGAAGGCTTCGAGCTGGAGAAACTGAAGGAAGTGAGCGTCATGATTGCAACATTCTTTGCCTGGGTAAGTGACATGAAAATTCATGCCGGATGTGAATTTGACAGAAATGAAATTGTTTTTTTTTTTTTAATCTGAAATATGTAAATAGACTAGGTCTCGTTAGAAATTAGTTAAATCACCATTTTTGTCTTCAAGTGATATATTCTGATTGTTTCTTACAGTTTATTACATTTTAAGTGTTTATTACAGCTGTGTAGTGTAAATAAAGTCATTTAACCAGCATCCACTACGCTAAAAAGAAATTACTCCGCTCGCATATTATAATTAGTGTTTCAAATTGTATATTTTCTCTGAAATAAATACTACTACTACTACTACTGCTACTGCTAGTAAAAACATCAAACCTTTATTTAACAAAGTGGATATCGTTTTGTTTCTGCAGTCTAATTAAGAACAATGTTAACTCTCAGTATGTTCTCCATTTAAGTCGTAAGACGGTGAGTTGGGGATATGTTAGTTAAAACTTCATTTTAGGATCTTTTTTAATATTCCAGTGCAAGGGGGTGATACGTGAATCTATCACAAGAGTTGCAGACCAGGAATTGGAAAGGATGAGTAACCAGGCCAAGCCAATAGTCGGAGAAGTCAAGACGTCTAGGAAGATTTTCTAAAGTATTGATGCTTTCGGTTTGAGCACCTTGCTGAGCCGATGTTTTTAACATATTACAATTCTAGAGATTTGGAATGTTTTAATTTTAATACCAGTTTTGAAGGACTGTACAATATGCTCATAGTAAAAACAGACACTATGCAGTTGAATGCTCATCTTTTTTTAGATATTCTTATCTGTAATTTAAGGGAAATTTCTCCGTCCAATTTGTGATATCATGCTATTGTCTTTCGTGCCACACGTTATAGCGTAGGCCATATTACTAATGACTAAAAAAGCACTCAAAGAGGGCAGACCTCCGCCAAGGCAGCAAAGTCTCCATCCAATGCCGTTTCACCCCTAAATTTTCGAGATGTTTGATTATTGATCCGGATCACCACCAAAAACTAATCATCTGTTCCTTGGCCCATCTCTGACCGTTCCTGAAAATTTTATCAAAAGCGGTCCGTAACTTTTTCAGTTATGTTGATGACAGACAGACAAACAGAGAAACAAACAGACAAACAAACAGGGGTGAAAACATAACCTCCTTGGCGGAGGTAATTATGTACAGTATTTTGTATACTAGCCATTGTGATACCTAGTTGGTGCTTTGTATTTAAAAGCTGAAAGTATTTTACATTTTAGTACACAGAGATGTAGGCGGATGTTTTTATTTCTTTTACAACTTATATATCTGTATTATAAACAAGAATGTACATCTGTGTAGTTTCTATGCATATAACATTAATTGCCTTCTATAACTTTATTTTTTCTAAATAAAGAATGCCACCATGATGATTGTCGTACGATCTTTATTGACAATAAAAAAGTTGCTTCAAAATATACAGGTCACTTCTGTCCTAAACTTCAATTAAATGTTTTTAAAATATGTTTTTCTTCTTAAAAATACTTTACAAATTTATTATAGAAAAGGGGTATACACTTAAAATGTGCTCACTGGTATTAACTTTATACAAACCGTCTGAATATTTTTACTGTGAGAAAAAATTGTAAATACTGATTTCCCAAGTCGTTGTAAATGGTCCAATCTTGCCATCAAAAGAAAAAAAACAGGAGTTGATAACAATTCATTCCTATCCGTTCTGTCACAATGTATACATTGAAAAATATTTTTTAAGATTCCTCTCTTAAAAACAGAATGCAATAAATCGACAAGTATTTGTTATACATGTAACCGTGTTTTTATTACAGGTGTATTCCTTTCAACGTTCCTTTTTCTCCTTTTCATTTTCTCAAATTTTAAGTGCGTTTTAAATTATCACCATGAAAATATCCTGTAAAAGACGGCTTATACTGTATCCCAAATACAAATCTAATTAAAACAATAAAAGAGGCTCTCTAAGATATGATCCTACATAGTGATTTATATCCATAAGAGGGTAAATATGTTATTTAATAAAATAGAAAAAAAGGAAAAAACTTATATTATCGGTTATCAACAAAATGGAAGTGCATTGTCAAACATAAAGACAGCACGTCACTTGCATACGGGTATAGCTAGAACGCTACTGTAACACAGATCCAAATCATTTGTTCTGGGAATAAAAAAAACGTGTTTTATGTCATCTTGTACGTGCCCCTTCTAGCGCCCTGTCACTTGACACCTATTCTCTTGATTCTGTAATGCTGCACTAAGTCGACACTTTGTATACCATTCATCAGTCAACCTCTGAACATTTTTTTTTTCATTCAAAATCATACGTTCGTGATGCATCCTTTCAAAAGATGCATTCAGACAAGCGCTATTTAAGACCGGTAACAGTTCCAACTCCCGTCATTAGGCGACCACCATCACCAAACCCTCACACAATAGAATACAACTACCCAGGCCATGGAAGTCAGGCATCTATTTGACCATCACTGTCATCAACGTACGGAATGTTTTCGGGGTCATAAGGCTTCAGTGGCTCCTCAGGTGAGGTGACTCTTTCTGGCGACCCATCAGCGGTTGGGGAAGGATTTAGAGCGACTGCTGCTGGGCCTCTTTCCTGGCGAGGTTTTCCTGCAGCCTTCCGTCGTTTGTGGTAGAAAAGAAAAGCAACAAGGACGATAGCGATACCCGCAACTGCAATTGCCACAATGGGACCGATGGTCACAGCCAAGGCGGCACTGGAGACGATGGCAGCTTTAATGATGAAAAGAGCAAATTTTGGCATGCGATAATAATTATATCTGTCAGATCAGTCACGCACAAGTATTATATATTGATTGAAATACCTTATTTACTACGTCCTCATTGACAAAAGTGCATAAATGCATATGTAAAATATATATCAAAATCTATAAAAACATAATATATTGACTTGCATTTTGAAAAAACTAAATGGAGGACAAATCATACAAAACGTTAGTTAGCTTTTATCAATTATTATGAATGTATTTTATCTGCCATATAAAAAAATGATGATTGTGAGTGATACAGTCTAGCCATTTAAGGGCTAATCACAAGTTCGTGAACCGTTGAGAAAAACATTATAACAACCATGGAAGTACGTGTTAACAACGCACCATATCATGAGTATGAAAAACTCACCTGGGGGTTCAGGTTTGATGCACGAATAGACCACTTTCAGGTAATTCTGCCCCCCTAGAGACCCACAAGGATTTAAGGTGGTGGTAGAAAATATGTCCTTGAAGCTGAGCACACAGACCGGTTTTTGTAAACAGGTCATCCACACCGCACTCTCTGTCAGGTCCGTGTGGTTCATGCAGTGTTGTGAACATGGGCCAGAGGGCGCTGATGTATTCAGCCCATTACATGTTTCACAAGGATAAGATTTATCCTGTCCATAGCCTGCCGACTCCAGAGACACTACATGGTCCTTTGGCTGGTCGCAAGACAGTGTCACGTTGCCCATACCACAGACAAACGCCATTAAGGGAGGGACGACGTGTTCGGCTGTAGCTGTTCCATAGAAAACGCAGAGTCCTGCTAGGACATACACGTATATATGCCCGGGAATTTTATTGCGATACATTTGTGATATCCGAGGAAGCGTCCTACATAAGCACTAAAAACGACGTTGTATATCTTAAATCACAGGGTTGCTGCTTGTATGTGTTGATATTAGTACAATTAAGAGTACCACAGCCAAGTCTCATACATTTCTTCAGTCTCTTGCCTTCTTCTCTTTGAACCGTCTCCAACGTTCAGTAAGCATTTTGAAAGATCTAAACTCTGAAATGAAACTTTTGTCGTTGGTCTATTATTAGACTGTGACGTGTGACTAACAGCTTTGGCGGTTACAAGCCCAGTGTTTATATTAGTTTATATGCACGATTTCAAAAGGTTGTTCGCTATTGATTGTGAAGAAAGGTTTACTTTTCTTTTGTCCCTTGTCGATGCTTTTTCTAAAAAGTGTGCCGTGACCTCTTGGTCAGGAACACGTGTAAATACAACGCGAAGGAGTAAGAGGTAACGCAGTCTTATCTTACTGTGTTTGCGGAACGTAACTTCTTTAATCCCTGAGCACCTGTGAAGACGAAATGTACCCACGTTCACCTTAACTGTCGTTCATTTATGCAGGCATATAGCCAAATCAATATACCTTTACGCTGTCAGTATCTAGCATGGTCTGTTTGTTTGAATATAGCTGTGGAACATATCAATACATGTATATATCCGGTAGAGGCCAGCTTTGAACGCCACTTAACCTGCATGTTCACCGACTTGTCCGGACTGGTTTTATTCACAGAACATTAAGCATTTATTGTTAGCTGGCCAGGTGACCTATATAATTATCTTGAAATTGTCGCGCACCTTTCACGAGTACCTACATGTAGATTTAGTTTGTTTCCTACGGTATTAAAATAATCCTACCCCGTATATACATATAACTATACTACTATAGTTTATTCAAATGGTAGGCCCTGCGTTTTATTTCTTTAACCGGCTGACATATCGGCATATTAAAAGACATGCACTGTGTATCTTGAAAATGTGTGCACTCTTTAAGATTAAAATTTACTATTTCATATTAGGAACCGGATAAATGCGTGTGGGTAACCACAACTGCATCTGTGATTACATCGTTATTTATGTGACAAAGAACCTTGACGAAGATCTGTCACCTGTTCTTTGTTGAGAGTGACAAGGTGGAGTATTTTTAAGATTGATGAGTAAATGAACGCAGCGATTTTTGATATAAAAAAACATATCGTATTTGGTCGGTGGGCTATTCACTGCACATTTGTATATGGGTTTTAATTTCATAAGTCTTAATATTAGAAATAATCAAAAATAAATAAACGAATAAAGACATCTCTATTAAACTAAGGCTCATAGTGCTCAGTTTTCATTGAAATTCAAAATTGGTCCTATATCACACATTATATGATTTAAATTCTTTCAGGTCAAATAATATTGCAAAGTTTATGCACGCTACCCTCTACCAGGGCCACAGAATTTTTCACCAGATTTTCACAGAATTAATTAAGGGTTATTCTCTGTACTGGTTAAATTGTAGCCTACTGTTTAAATTAACGGTCATTCTCTGTACTGTGCCTCAGCCAAAATTTCCACATAGTAATATTTGCGGGCCTGGTAGAGGGTGGATAAATGTCACGCTGTAAGAAAAATCATAAAAAAAAACGCCGCGATATATTCTCTACATATTTTTTTTTTCATTTGTCTTCGTCATCCACATCAATCATATTGGTCAGATTTATTTCGTTATACGCGAAAAAAATCTTTCTGGACATTGATGTCCTTTGTTTGCACGACTGTCCACAACACACCTGCAGTGACCCTAGCTGACCTCAAGGGGTCAAGCATGACAGACACTTCTTAGTCCACCGCTAGGTGACGCGATTATTTTGACGGCAAGAGGTGCTGCCTGTTGAACATTAAATAAAACAATTTTGAACCCACTGTACAAATGTCACCATTGCCTGTATCTCTCAGAATTATTCAAACAGGTGTCAAGGAGGAAGGCAGGGAGGGAGAGAGGGAGACAGCTTAAAAGGAGACTATTTAATTTTTGCTCGCAAATGATGAAGGCGCCATTTTAGTATTTAAGTATTATTTTTAAGTAGCGAGAAGTAGATGTCTTGCCAATTGAAATAACCAAGTTGCCAAAATAGGTGATGTGTATTGCACCAAAAACTGTCAAGTAAAAGGAATATTCATTTAAACTTATTTTTAGAAAGGACGCAAAAGTAATTGTTGTTAGTTTTGTTGTGATGTATTCAAGTGATTTAAGAAAAGAACGTTTCAGCTTATTCTGTCTTGTTACAATAATCATAATAGTAAAAATGTAATTCCTTATACTACTATGCTCTTCTTTATTGTCATTTTGTTGAGTCGTACATTGTCGAGATCCCTTCGATAGAAATACTACTTAGACGTTTTTCCAAATCATAGGAATTGTGAAATTATAATCACAAGAACAACTGCAAATACTACTGTCATGTACCCGGTACATGTGTTACCTTTGAAAAAATGTTTGAACTGTTATTCTCATTCATTATTCTTACTGCAAAAGCTATATACTTCTCATAACGTATTAGTAATAAGTGTGTATTCTTGGTGAATGAAATTTTACCAGATCACTTAAAAATATTGAACACCAAAATAAATTTCTTGTAAACCCTTCCCTATTTTATTTATTATGTGTTAATCTGTATATAATCATCAAGTCATGTCGACATCCGATCTTCTTTTTTCACTAATTTCCTTCGTGAAACTGTAACTTCATATTTTTGTGATCTTTTCTGAAAATTGTAAATGCACCAACAATGACACTTGTATACAGTTTATAGGACATTTCGGACCAACAATCCAAAGTACGGTCTTTAACTCGCGTACGGTGAATTTTTTCTCTTCACCTCCTCTTCACTTCCTATGCGAGCGAGACCCAGATGTGGTACATGTAGACGATATATTGTCATGGCTCCATGCAACTGATACATTTACTTATGTCCCGATGTTTGTAGGAAATAAATATCTGTTTTCCAGGTAACCTGAATTTTTTTTTATTTTGAAGTCTCACGTCACAATAAAGTCTAGAAAATGACAGTTCCAGTTTTCTCCTAGTCTACCCAATACAACATCAGTCTGTTTAACAAGCGTAATTTTAGAGTAAAATCCTTTCCCTGAGCACTCTGCGCTTAACATACTCTAAGTACCGGTCGTTTAAATATATATTAACTGCAAATTGACATTTTTTTTCAGAGGCAGCGTGAAGAGATATTTTCGTCTGTTTGACCGCCTTGAAATGATTTTTGATTCCTGTTTTGGACAGATCGCAGCTAACTTTTTGTCAAGATCCTTCGTGCTTTGTCGGTGTGTTTGTCTAGATGTTCCTTCAGAAATTCTATCAATTTCGTCGACAAATTCAAATTCCTCTGGTGCACTGACAGTCCAAGGTCGACCATTCACTGCATTTTAGCAGCGGATCATATCATCCTATTTTGTTGAGGAATATCTCATTGTTTTTAGCCACCTGCGCCTACTGTTTACCCGAAATTCATTCAAGTGCACCTGAACGACGAGGGCACCTGTCAATCAGCTGTCACGTGCACGCGTTGTGTGGCAGGTGATTGACAGGTGTCATCACATTGCAGCACTTACTGTACTTTTCGATTTTGGCATTGTAGTAGTTTTAGGCAATGATTTTATTTTAGCATTTTCTATGAAAGCGACCGACTCAAAAATTCAACATGTTGGACATAATATGGCGCTAAAGCTAACAAAAACCATGTAAGATAATTTTAAAATCCTACACTCAAACTTTCGGGTCGTATTTTTATTCACACGATGTACACGTAATTTTTGTACAAAATAAGATATTAAAACGGAATTGTACTGCGTCCCAAAATATTTAGGTATTACAACTTGAAGGAAATTATAATGTATGTATGTGTGTGTGTGTGTGTGTGTGTGCACGCGCACATGCCAGCGCATTCACCTTTTGAGAGGGGGGATAGTGATATAATTCTTACTAATTCCTAAAACGTATGCGTTAATTTCAAGTTTGAAATAAAGAGATACTTGTTTTAACTGAACAATAAAAACCCAGCCTTTGCTTTTATGCATCTTTAGAATAAATAATGGATAAGGTTAAGGTGAGGTCAGATGATCGTTAAAAATCATTACCTTCTTGCATAAACAATTAATATTTTTCGCCTATAGTTTGCATACCTCCTTTAAATCCCGATGCCAAATTACAAGTTTTTGTCCCCCCTCCAATGATGGGTTTTAGACAGTATGCTCCTTTAACATTTTTGACATCATATGGTATTTGGTAGTCCAAAAAGTAGGCTAAAAACTGTCACACGAATCTTCGTATAATTCAAATTCATTCTAGAACATAACATATAGCAAAATGTCATTGTTCGTTTTCGTAGAATATTTAAAATCACAAAAGTATACAGAAAGAAAACTTTCCAGCTACTTGTAATATGACACGTACCCGGTACCTTCTACCTTCCACTTTCATGGAAAAGACAGATTATCATATCAAGGAAGTTAGGAAAAATAACCTATAAATGATTTAAGCGGATAAATTCTCGTTTCTGTTAAACCCTAATTAATCAGGGACTGCATTTGTTTAAGTCTTCTGGCATTGCTAATGGGAGGGCGTAATCAATCAATGAAATGGAATCCTCCGTATTATGCCTCCTGGAAATGCATTTTTGCACACGTCACCTGCGATGTCATCTATCTCTTGAAAAAAATTGTCTATCAACCCTTGTGGCCGAATGACATCAATAGTTCCGGCGAGAAAGATGTATCTTACAAGAAAGAAGCTTTAAAAAGACATACAGTCAGAGTAAGACCTTTATAACCCATTTCACAACCCCAAGAAGAAATTTGTATTTCTGAAGTTTTCAACATTTCCTTTAAATCACCAAGGTACGAATTTTCGAAAACCATTCACACAATTACAAACATTAATCCATTTTGTGCTCTACGTTTCAAGTTTTGGAACCATTATGAGTTTTAATTGGGGTAGAGATTATAGAATGTAACGGTTTTGGATAAAGGGTATACCGGCTTGGTAAGGGAAAATCAACCTGTGCTCATTCACTGGGAATTAACAGATACAATATAACACTCACAAAAAAATGCAGAGATAAAACAACAAAATGAAATATCAATATCACTTATGAATAAACCCTCGTAAATTTGCTGATATTGTCTGTCTTTTCTTCCAGCAAATTTACTTGAGTTTGCCATCATTGTCATCCACCCAAGAACAGCAACTGATTTTGATCTATTACTTTGAAAAAAGCCCACTCCCCAAAAATGATGAGAAGAGGATTTTCAAAATTGGGAAATTGCGCATTGCGAACAACTATAAATCTGCTGTCGGTAGACCAATAGACCAAGATGTAGTCCAAGTAAATTCTTCAGAAAACCCACGTAGAGGGGATGGGTAGATATCCGTTTCCTGGTGTGTGTTTAAGTGAACAGTCCGTGGGGGTGGAGTTACATGTCAGTTAATACAAGAAGGAAATACGTGATCTAAGACAAGAAAGCAAAAAGCAATACCACTGCCACCAATGCCGCCGCTAATCAACGTGGGAGTTTCGAGTAGATGTTCTACGTGCTGTATGTTCCCCAACTACCTCGCTACTTTATCCAATCATTAACTTAATCAGCTCATAAATGTAGAAAAATGTCATTCCGTTATTCCGTTACTGATGGCTTCGTGGCATATTTATCAGAATTGAGGTTACCATCTAAAACCACGGTGTCAATTAAGATTGCGGATGTCAGGCATTACGATTACCTGGGTCTTAAATTCCTATCAAAAGGAATTTCGTTATAAATGACAGCATTTACTTAAATGAAGGTATAGACATTTCCCAATACTATTTTCCTACCCTTTGCACAAGGCTCTTGGATAATCTTTTTTCCACAAGAAGCAGGGGATTTCACTAAAGATTTAAAACCATGGCAAGCTATCATAACAAGACACACCCTTTAGTCTGAAAAAGGAACTAATAGTTTTTCTACATTCATTTTCTGTCTTGAATGTAGTTAAGGAAATGATAGTTATTTTACAAACGCGCTTAATACCAAGGCTTTAGGTAACTTAGGTCGTATCTTAAAAGATGCGCCTGGCGACATTTACCACCAGTTAGTGGATACGTTTTCAAGACAAACCTTCATTCTACGGTACCATATAGCAAGGGCGGAATCTTACCTTTAAACTTTGATAAAGTGGACATAGCTCTTAAGGTAGATGACGATTTAAATTTAACCAAAGCAACGAAGCAGCTTTCACCCGGAACTGTGCACTTTATAACTTAGTTATTTGCATAGATCAAGCGGACTTCTCGACATAGTTTCATCTGACAGAACTAAAAAATTATATATGGCAGCGAAAGGTGAGGCTATCTACTGTTTTCTTATCTTAGCTTCAGCTGTGCTGTGTTGCCAAACGTTTACAATCCTTCCATCGAATACCAACGACTCCAATGCTAACCTCACTGGCTACAGGCACTGTTCGAACCGCACCGATGGCAACATTGAACTCTGCTCCTGCAGGGACATTTGTTTCCTCTACGGCGATTGCTGTGTAGACTTTGTGAATAGGAATAATTCACATACATTTTCGAACTTGAAGGCCCGAGTCGCTGATCACGCCCAGTGCATGGCGATTGAGAACCAAGAGGAAAATACCCCATGGTACTTCATCAACAGTTGCCCGCACAGTTGGAATAGTTCTATTCAAACGAAAACGCAATGCGAACATGTCCCAGCCTACCGAGGAGGACCGGAGACGGACCAGATGCAGTACATCCCGGTTATTGGAAACAGCACCGGTTTGCTATACAGAAACATCTACTGTAGTATCTGTCACGGTGAAAAGGACGTGGTCTACTGGACAGTGCAGTTCACGTGCCAGGACCCTCACGCCTCCGGACAGGTACTGAGTATAACAGCCCTGCACGCGGGTCCGGTGAAAGCGGAAGAAAAGCTATCAGAAACACTTGAGAAATGCCGGCCTGTGTACAGTCGTCCTCCAAATGTCACCATGAACTCCAAACACTGTGTTCCATATATCGGAAAGTGCTGCGAGCATGCCTCCGAGTATCGCGCTCAATGCGAAACCACGCCATATGTGTCTTTAGTATACAGTAGAGAAACTGGGGAAGTCTTCAAAGACATGGCATGCGCCAGATGTAACGGGCAAGGAGACGGAAACATTACTTCCATCCCTGCCCTCGTACCAAGCACGACCACCGAAGCCAAAGTTTTTGGCGCTAACGTCTATTCCTTCTCAATCCTCTTCGATCCTAACGCTATGCGGTTTGTAAAGAAAGGGAGCACAGAGAAAGTGTTCGACTTCGCTAACTGCCTTCCAGGACAGGTGTTTGACGTGGTCACCGAGACGTGCAGACAGCTGATATGCGCCGACGGCCACTATGTGGACACACAGGGTAAATGTGTAAAGAAAGATCAATCTGGGGTAACTGCAGATACAGTGGACTCCTTCGGTTTCGTGATGCAAGTTTCTGAGGTTCAGATTTCGAACTTGACAGATAAACTAAAAAACGAGTCAGTGACTGAAATATATCGCAACGTTTCTAATTGCTACAACCACACAGATTTTACGATTATGGCCGATGGTTCTGTCTATTTAAACAAAACGGATGAGGTAATCCCAAGGGGCAGGTTCAATCTTCTAGAAGACAACACTGTAGAGCTGTGCTGGGAACGTTCCGTTCGGTACCCCGCCCTCAGCGACATGGACCGAAGAATGGTGTTCTCGTTTTCCAAGCCTCAACAAATACTCTCTGAAATCGGTAGCATCATGTCCCTCGTTTGTCTTGCCGCACTTCTGGCTGTCTATATCACCCTGCCTACTCTCCGGAACGTCCCAGGCAAACTTCTGATGAACCTTTCAGGAGCTCTCTTCACGGCGCAGCTTCTGTTCCTCTTGGGCCCGGCCGCTGGTGGTGTGAACGCTCTTTGCACACTGGTGGCTGTGGGGATGCACTACGCCTTTTTGGTGGCGTTCTTCTGGATGAACGTCATGTCTTTTGATGTGTACCGCACCTTTTCGCGGCCCACCATCCAAGCCGTGTCAAACGCGCGTTATCCACGGTATGTCTTTTATGCGTGGTCGGCGCCACTCCCCATAGTCCTGACAGCGTTCACTTTGGACTTTCTGCCTGTGCCAGAAGACTTCCAACCCGGGTTCGGCGACCATGATATATGTTGGATAACTCAAAGGTTGGGGCTCATAATCTACTTTGTGGCCCCAGTGGGGTTGCTCCTGATTGCAAATGCGGTGTTTTTCAGCATGGCCGTGCAGAACATCCTTCGGGCTACCAAAGCCGCAAGCATGGCCAGCATGGTTGAAAAGTCGACGAACAAGCGCTGCTTGTTGCTGTACGCAAAGCTGTCCACCATTGTGGGGATAACGTGGGTAATGGCCTTCATTGCCATGGCAACGAAGCTTAGAGAACTCTGGTATGTGTTTATAATCTTGAACACACTTCAAGGTGTCTTCATCTTCGTTGCGTTTGTCTGCACCAGAAGAGTCTGGAGGCTTCTCAGAAAGCGAATTGCCATATTTATGAATAAGCACGAGACGCCAGAAACTGTGTCAAAGGATTCGCGGAGCAGTAGACCATCAAGTTTTCGGTGTAATAAGGGAGGCATTGAGAGAGAAAAGACAACGGAGACCAATTACATATAACAGTGTTAATGCCACCAATTTGACGTTGAACGTTTTATCGATACTTTAATTTTTGAAATTAACGATCATGTTATTAATACATTCATGAAGTTACGGCAACGAAAAACTTAAAACATATAGTTTAAAACCTAAGAACGACGAAGAACACTGAATACCTCACGTATGGAAGAGCGACATTTATAAAGTAATAGGTCTCTTATTTTTAATGAATAATATTGTGCAAATACTTTTTGTTGAGAGTCAGTAATTTTGGATGTAAAAAAATAATAATGCATTTATAAAATGTTCTGAGCAAACTGAAAATGTCATGGTTACTTTGGCTTTTAAGCCAACTCCACACAATAATGAATCGTTTAATCATTTCTTTAAGTACAACTTTCCTCTTGATTGGATGTACATACACTGTAAATTGGCGACCGCGGTGTAGGACTTATTTGAAATATAAGAACTTATTTGTTTTTAGAAATGTGGATATGCACGTTTATTGAAACAGATCAGTCACTCTTATTACTGACACATTGAACTAAATATTAAATGTACAGATGTAAATATTTCATTGAGTGTTTACAGATTACATATATTTTTTGTACAACTGGTATCTTATTTCTTTCTCTATTGTAATGCAAGAAATTGTTATCTCACTACACTGTATATGTTTTCATTGTAAGCTTTTATGTACAAGAATCTATAAATTAATACACAATCTATATTATATATCAGTATATGAAAATAAACAATGTTTAAACAACTAAGTGAAGGCTTACAGTGGAATCATCTATTTATGAGAAAGTACTTTATAACTTAAACATTAAAAATATATGTCTCCTACGCATAAATGATCTATTTGATTAAATCTCTTTGCTATAAACCTAATCATATAAGTAAAGCTAACATTTCATCTACTGGCTACAAAAGTAGCATTTTAATGACTATAACAGATGCATTATTGAAATTGCATTGGTCATGTATAACATATTAGTGGTAACCAAGACCACAGATACAGAATATTAAACAAGAAAAGAAAAGGGTGAATTTTTCTGGAGAGGTTTCATGTAGTATGTGACTTTCTGAAACATTGGACCCAGTAATAAGAGTAACATAAAATCAAAACCTCCCATAAGGCCTTTACANCGTATAACATATTAGTGGTAACCAAGACCACAGATACAGAATATTAAACAAGAAAAGAAAAGGGTGAATTTTTCTGGAGAGGTTTCATGTAGTATGTGACTTTCTGAAACATTGGACCCAGTAATAAGAGTAACATAAAATCAAAACCTCCCATAAGGCCTTTACAAATTCACAATAGGCATTTACAAATAGACGAAATTCTGGGACGGCAATCAATTTGCACTGGAGGACAAGACTGTGACCGGATGGTGAATGATGACAATGTTCAAGAAATTAAGCATGCATACAAAATAAAACCCACAAGTTGAGATACAATTTGACAACAGGCCACATAAATCTGTTGTGAAATGCAGTAATAATTCTTGAAATATATGAAAAAGCACACTGTGACATAAAAAGCTAATGACACAACTGTAACTCACAACAATGGCTATAAAAATACTATTAAGCGTGTAAATTATCTAAAAATACGATATATATATTACAAATATATTAAATGCAACAGATAGGGCTGGAAGCTCTGCATGAAATTAACGTGATTTCTAAAAGCACATATTTTCTATTCACAAAAGAAAAGCTAAAATTATTCCCTGCATGCCCACTAAATAAACAATGAATAAATAAATAAATAAGTGAACAAACTAACAAATAAATAATAATAAAACTCTTTAAATTAGATACTGTACAGTAGTCCAGTAAAGTGACATAAATATAAAATCTGGACAGAAATATGACAGAATTGTAATACAGTTACTTGCACTTTGTGATCTTTGGTTCAATAAGTATTGTGCAAGGGCAGATCTAGAGAAGCATGCACATGTCTCTCTGAACTGCTTCTTTTCTTTAATGTACAAACAAGCTGAAGAATCAACAATAATCATTTAAAGAAATCAAAAAAGAAATGTTTTTTAAGTGATATGTGACATTTCAAACCTTTGGACCCAGTGAAAAGAGCAACAAAAAATCACAACCTACTGAAAAAAGTATTTGAAATCCACAGAAAGGATTAATAAACAGTCCAAAATATGGGATGGCAATAAAATAGCCTCAAAGCATTACACTGATTCAAGCAAAGCAATAAATAATCAAAACTAAATAATAATAATTATTTTTAAAAATAACAATAAATAAACAAATCTCCCCCCCTTCCCCCGAAGATCTGCCTACACTGTTCAAGTATAACTAATAGTTAACATCAACATTAGGCTGACACAATATGGGCAGTGGAATAAAGTGATAAAACTAACAGCAATATATATATTAAAACACTTGTATAAAAATACATGCACACTAGTAACACTACTGAATATATTTGTGCTAGAAATAGAACAAATAGGACGGTGATCATGTAAACAACTGTATTTATACAAAATTTAAAACAAAATCCTTAACAGTGAGAAATGCATAGATCTGTGCAAAGAGTATAAAGTCAGGACGGAAAGCAGTGCATAAATTGTACCAACATCATCAATCTAAAGAATGGCGACATTTGTCTTTTTTCAAAAAACTTTTATAGTTGTACCCTTGGAATATGCCTCAATATTAACTAGGAGACAAAATAGGTCTTTTAATAGTTTTCCTTGTCAGTTATTGGCAAATCTTAAAAAAGCAATAATATCAATTTACAAAGCCAACTGGCTTGGTAAAATATAACATTAAATATCAGGCAGGAGAAAACAACTAAACTGCCCTTATTAGCATAAGCTACAAACCTGTGGAATGGCAAACTGTGCTTAATATTTGGTCCCTTAATAAAAACAACACTGACAAAAACATGGACAAAAAAACATGATATGCACTATAAGGCATTTGTTTAACAATAATGAATGCAAGAGTGGGTGAATATACTGTATCAAAATATTGTGAAAGTCACAACCCTATGTTATAATCTCAAGATCTACCCAGAGTACACCAGCTGAGAAAATCAACCAGATACTGGGGAAATTTTTTTATCGAAATTCATTTCTTTGACATAAACAATAGCAATGAAAATATTGCTCATTTCATTCATGACAAGACATGATTGTGAATCTTACTTGCTAATATGAATTCACTAAGAGTAGATGAAATGTCATTCACTCCCATATATTTAAGTGTCAGTCCTAGCTAACAAAGGCAATGTCTTCAGAACCAATTTCTTCTTAGTGGCCATGAAATCGTAGAGGTCATCTAGGGTAAGGTCCTTGGTGGGTTTTGTATCCACTTCCAGAATCTCATCACCCACACTAAGCAAACCAGCAAAAAACTTTTCAGGATAACCGTCACTTAGTCTGGAGATAAATATACCTGGAACAACACAAAGAAAATAAACTTAATTCATTGTGGCTTTGGGCTAGATCTGTGAACCATGTATTCCCTTGCAGACAAAATAGTTTGGTAAATGACATGACGTAATGGTCACTATTTGTATACTTTTACATTCCTAAAATAGTCTATGCTAATTTTATTCAAAGTGTGAAGACCCAAAAAAGTTGAATACCTTTACAATATCATAAAATTAATAGTACACATGGCAGGTAGCACACCAAAACCTGAGTAAAAACCTGATTTTTCTCCTTACTTTAACCTCACCAATTTACAGTCAGTTACTGCATTAGTGATCAAACACATATCCCCTTGCCAGGATAAAAAATTGCCTTTACCAAAAAAAGAAAAAGTATACAGATTTTTCATAACATAGAACAAATTAACAACATATATATTCAATCCTATCAAAATATAGCATACCATGCTTAAACTTGGCATTCCCTCTGGCAATATAGAAACCAAAGGGTCCATGTGGTGGTTTGATCAGCTCTATAACCTGAGACCCATTAGAGTTGACCGACAGGAGGCGCCCTATGGCTCGCCCGTGTGTGGGGCTCTCCACTTCCTCCGGTGAGGCGATGGAGTGACGACGCAGGTGCTGGGAAGACTTTTTGGGAGTTTGGGCACTGGAGGGTCTTTTCTTGGATTTCCTGGAAATGTTTTTTTTTATTATTATTTACTAATAGATGTTCTGACTGACTGTTCTCATGAAAAGAGATATTCTTCAATGAAAGATGAGTGCTCTGCTGCATATTGCTGTCAGCATGAGATAATTTTTTTTTTCAATTTGGACACACCAAGAATATCATACTATGAAGTCTTCTTTCGTTATGCAAGTCTTGCTGTTTTATCAAAAAAAAAAAAAAAAACCTTATGTACTTCACAACAGTGACGCAAAAGATAAACCTGTTAGCCGAATAATGTGAGAAAAAGATTACCGAGGGCAAGAAGCTTAGGGACAGCATTAGCTCTACTGATTGTGAAGTGTAAGCCAATTCTTGGTCTATATGGTGTTATACAGGACATTAATGTTCTTACTTGTCTTTTACTGGAACCTCAATATCCACTGCTTGGTTACTGGGTCTGTCCTCTTTTTTCTTACTGAAGCTCAGCCTGAGAGATTGCAGTGACGGAGCTCTCTTGACCTTCACCTTTCCAGGTTCCTTGGAATCAGTGGACTCTCTACTCTTATCAATCCTGAAGTAGAAAAATAAATGTTAGTTTGATGAGTCTTGTTTTAATGTTTCAATCTATGTAACACACTCATTATAAAAAATACAAATACTGATAAGATTTTATAAATAAAGTTGCACGAACAATCCCTACACTTTGATGCCAGAAATTCTAAGAAGTGATTTGATTCTAGAAAGAAAATTTGCATGATTTTTTAAAATAACAGATTTGATCAACATTGATATCATAAAATAACTGGATTACATGGTGTTTGGCATTGGTAAAGAAGCACAACTTGATAACTTTTAACAAAATTCTGGATGCAAATCCCAGATTCTAAATCTCTATTCTAGTATAAGTAAGTAAAATGACCAAATAAATTACACAGGAACAAAACAAATATAGATTAAAGAGAGTACTCAAATATGAAAAGACAAATCATATCACTGAAACCTGCATTTTTGTCTTAGAAGAGGGCATTTCAAAATCAACCAATTTTATAAACTTTGTATACATCACAAAAAGTAACATTTCTCTAACGAAGGAACAATTTCCAACTGATCTTACCTGTCCAAGCTCATGGCCCTCTTTATTGCTTTAAACTTGCTCTTTGCTGATCTCCTGAGACCTTCCATACGGTCCATTAGAGATGACCTTGACCCACTTAGTTCCTTAGACTCTTCCAGATTGCTAAAATTCACAAAGAATACTTCAATAATATTGTAATACATAATGGACAACTTCAACTAAAAAAATACTGTAACTATGAAATTATATTAGCTTTTCATAGTTAAGAATTATATAAATTAAAAATTATTAGGTAGAAAAGGTTACCATATAGGTTTTGTTCTAGTAATTATTTAGAATTATTGTTATTATAATATGATTTATGTTTGAATTTTTTGGTTACTGCTTACTCATTTTGATAAAAAATCAAATTGAATTCAGCATACTGTTATGATATCTTCTTACACAAGAGAGGCTGACATACAGTCATGAGCCACATATAATTCATTGGGGAAGAGACTGCTATTTAGTGAGAAAGTCTGAGAATATATTGTGGAGGCCAGGGGGTGGCCTAGGCTAATGATATTTTTGGCTCCCAAAAACTTGGAAATCTGCCGACAGTCCGAAAAACCTCATGCCTGATTCATTCTTACATCTATAACTAGCCTGATTATTCAGTTTCTCATGAATTTCCCACTTACCTCCTATATCTCCTTCTTGGAAGAGTTGGTGTGTCAAGTTCTTCAATCTCATCATCTCCTCCCACTACAATGCAGGGGTTACTGACAGGCAAAGGATCAGGTGTACGACTCCTCACATTATCTGGTGTGCGACTCCTTGGAAGCTTGGCTGACTTGTCAACAACAGCATAGATGGCACTAGTGGTACCATTAGGCTGTTTGACATTGGCATCACCAGTCTCAGGTTGTGGTGGTGGAGCTTCAGGATTTGGATGATGTTCTTTACTGATATCGGCACTATTTGGTCTGGAACGGTTTCTTGGTGGTTTGCTCATTACTTGGCCCTTGCTGTTTAAACCAAAGGAAGAATTCATTTTGTTCTCCTCTGCTGCTGCTGATGTATTGCTAAGGTCAGTGATAACCTCCACCGTCTCATAAGGATCGTCCTCTGTTGACAGAGACAGGCCACTTGGGGTCACTCTTGCAGCAGAACTGGAGGATTTTGTGGGGTTTTCACTATGTGGGGGACAGGTATATTCTACTGTATCATAATGTGGTGCCCTGGAATCCTTGCCTGTTGATAACCCTTCTCTTTTATTTTGTGGTGGATTTTGTTTGTCTGCTCTTGATGAAGGTCTCTCATGGACACTGTCTGCAGGTACACTACCACTGAATAACCTTGAGTCATTAGTACCACCATCTTTATGGTCTAGCCATAATTTCTCTGCGTGGTCTTCTCCTGAGAATCCATTGGATAAGAAGTGACTGTTCTGCGGTTTTATTTCTTGTCCATCATCTACACTGGACTCCCGGAGATACTTGATATCTAAGCCTCCAACTGGCTGAGATGGACCTAGAGCTTCTTGACTCTGTCCAGACTGTGCTGCCATCTCTGGAGAAAGGTGGAAGGTAACAGTTTTATTGGCAGATTTTAATTTTGGAGTCCTAGATCTAGACATATGATAAGCCTGAGTCGTGTTTTGAGGAAGACTGGGAGAAAAGGTGGTTTGAGCCTGAGAACCGAAAGGGGCAGCCTGTGCACTTCCAGGTCTAGCCTTATCATGAGCCTGACTGAGAAACTGTGGGGTATCCCTCTTGTTGTCTCTACCAACTGGCTTTTCATCAATATAAACCCTGGAATTTTCCATATCAAAGTTAACGCTATGCCTTCCACTTGCTCTTGAAGAGGGTCTGTTATTTTTGTTTGGTTCCCTGCTGCGCTGACCACCCTCACTCCGAGCCCTGGACGGAGGTCGGTTCTGGGTTGTGACATCTTGACTAGAAATATTGCTCTCCGCATCATCTTCATTGGAGGGAGAATAACTGCCTTTTTTTCTTTTTAAAATACTTTTCATCTTTTTTCCTTTACTTGATATGTAGGAAACTTCCTCGTCAAATGAATGTTCCAAATGTGAGGGATTCTCTTCAAGTTTATCATCAGCAACAGGTGGATTTGACATCAAGTCATCAAAAAGTTTCCTCTGTTGGGAATCAATCCATCCATAAGTATCAATCTCATGCCCATTTGTTAGATGTCCATTGGTTTTGGCATATAAATCTCCCGCTGAGTGATGTTTCCTAAACTGACCTTGACTTGTATTTAGAGGCTGTGGCTCGCGGAGATAAGACTGTGATTTTGACTTTCCTGACACGGATGAAGCTAAGGCTGGGTACTGCGGTGGTTTGGGTGGGCCATCATGCACTGGGAGCCCATTGAATAAGTGAAGTTTTTCAGACATGACTGAATCCTTCCCTCTGTCTCCTGGGGACACTTCAGTTTCACTTACACTGTTACTTTTGGGACTGTCATAGCTATAACTAAATGTGGAATCCCTGTTTCTACTGGCAGGACGATCTGCAGATCTAGATCTTTTTCGTTTTGAGGCAGGTAATAAACTGTCCAAACTATTGCTGCCACTAAGTGTTAATTCTTGAGATATTTCTCCACAGAAATTACCCTGACTTGCTTGTTGTTGGCCTGTGAATGAGTGTCTCAACCCATTGAGGGAAGGTGGAATGGAAGCTTTGGAACTCACACTGGAAGTTTGCTGGTCTCCTCCAGTTTCAAGACTAATATCATGTGATATGCCTAACCTTGGATCTGAGTCATCAAGCTCATCATCACCATAATCTGCTGCCTGAAGGTGGCGCTGATCAGAAAATTCTAAAGACAAACCTGTCGAGTTTTTAGGTCTAGCACCTTGTTGATACCATTTCAGCTTTTCACTCAAGGCTTCTTCTGCTATGGCACTAAACAGAAAAACAATCAAATGGAAATAATATGACAGCATTTGACTTTTTCCAATGTACGTTATTAAACTTATCAAGTGAACAGAGATATGTGAGCTAAAGAATGTGATTATATGAACATGGTGTCCTGTTCCTGTAAATCTATATAAAATTTTCTATCTGAACACAAAGGTCACAATTAACCTACAATCAATTATGACAACTAAACCTGGACTTTATTTTGATAAAGGAGACTGTGATGATGAAGGACAAAGAATCATGTAAAACTGGGCTCACCCCTGCATATATTAAGCCTGATACTGAACAACTTCATAAAAATATAAAACGTTTCCATATTTTCATCATATTTATGCATTAAACGAATCAAGATAAAATGCTGGTTAGTGAAGAACTGCCAAGCTATCTGACTAAAAGACAACATTCTCCAGTGAGTCAAGTTTAGATAACTTCAATTTATCAAGCCATTGTGTTTCCCATAAAAAATCAAAATTTTCCCCAAATTTCTCACCATTATGGTTCAAAATGCTATTAAGACTAAGTCAATGAGTGTCCAGCTATTTAACGAAAAGACAATTCACAATAGGACTTGTTGAGATAACCTACCTGTCCCTGTGTTTTGATGACACGACCAGCTGTATGTTGTGGTCAGCCTTGAGAGGACCACACCTGCCACCTTGGCTGGTCAAAGTTTTCTGTGTGTTCCTGAAGTTACTCTTGGCCAGGGAGATGTTCACCCCGGGAGACATCTTGGGTGACAAGCTGGATATATGAAAAGAAATGAAAGAAAGTCTGATAAATAAATAAATAAACAGTTTGTTAGGTACAAACAACAACTGTCAATTTATCTTGAATTGAGGAGAAAACCTTTATATGACAAAAAGTTTAATTTTCCTGGAAATTTTTTCTATTCTCACTTAATCACTAGGGTGTAGAATATTCAAAACCATTAAAAAAATAACCATGTAGACACCAGTTTATGAGTTAAAAATGGTGAATTTCACTTTGATCTCAAAAACAGGTTTCAAGATTACATTTATTTTTCTACATGGTTAAGGATAGGGTATACCTAACAGATAAATGAAAATTTCTAAAATTAATTTTTTTCCTTTTTTTTTTGTTGCTGCACACAAATCTAATCAAAATGTGTACTGTATCAAACTAAACTTAATCTCAGCTGTGGCTTTTGCAATTAATATAATTCTCAAAAAAATTCTAAAGTAACTCTCCTTTTTTTAAACAGATAGCTCTCCATTGTGCTGAAGCAAAACCTCTACTTACTGTATTCAACATCTACAGATGGAATAGGATTTAACATATAAATACAGGGCCATATATGTCTTTACTTACACACTTAATTCATGTCTTGGAGACAGCAAGCTCTCCTGTTCGGTTGATGAGACAGAGTCACCTCGCACCAAATGCAACTTTGGCTTTTGATAGGCTTGAGCAATACCAGAGTCTGCATCTGAATCTGAAAGTTAAAGTGAAAAACTTTGTCCTAAGCACCTTTTTAAGAAACAGGACACACTGAAATTATTTTGAATCTAAGCTGAACATCTAAAAAACATCATGTAAATTTCATTGTTTCAAAGCATTCAGATCTGTAACATTCATATACAAAATATAAAATACCAATTACTCAAAAAAAAAACTAAAAATTTGAACCTTGACAGAATAGCTAACCTTTGTTTTGAGTGACAACTGTCTCTTCCCCAGCTATTGATTTCTGTAAGTCATTCTGTAGAGCCTGTTTCAAGAGCAGATCTTCAAGCTGGTCCGTCTTGATCAAACCATTAGCACCACCTGGTGATAGGGATGACAGTTTTCCAGATTTGCCGGATGATTCTGTGGATGGGTTTTCACATGGAGAAATATCTAATGATGGATTTGAATTAACTGATCCATTATCAATTTCCACAGCACTATCATGAGAGTCTGGGCTAGCCAACCTTGTCTTATATTCATGTCTCTGCCTAGGCCGACCTCTCGGCTCTTCACTGTTTCTAGTCAGTAAACCCTCTTCTCTTGAAATCAATCTGCTTTTGAGATTCTGTAACTTGGAAGTCCTTCCTTCAGATGAGATTTCATTTTCACTTTCATTAATTTGGCAATTTTGAGAATTTTGTGAATTTCCATGATCAGTCTTTCTACTTGGGGGTCTTTCTTTGGATAAATTCCTTAGTCTTGTTTTCAATGGGGAATCAAGAAGCTCTTTAAGAGTCTGAGAATTACGTCTTAATTTTTCTTTTAACGAGATGGCTGAATGATCATGCGGACCCTCTGGGGAGTTCAATATTGGTTTGTTTGTGGAGTCAGTGAGTGGAGAACGGTGGGGAGAGTGTTCTGGAGATTTGAACGAATTTTTCTCAAAGATGCTGGCACTACCTGGCCTGGGCACAACTTGGCCAACATATTCACTAGAATGGCCAGCCACATCATCAGTTGATTTATATGGAAGACTGCAGGCACTTGAAGGCCGAGCTGCCAATGTTCTATCCCCTATTAAGGAGAGTTTTGTCAATGGTGAGGTCTTTGGAGAAATTGATGCAGCAGCAGCAATTCTTGATGGACATGACTTTGAATTGCTTGAAGAATTTTGTTGGCTCTCTGACCTGGCTCGACCCTGTGATCCATTTAACGACGAGGAGGACCCAATACTGTTTATGATTAGTTCATTATCATGTGATAACCTTGACCCTGCTGTGTCACCCTGTGGTCCCCTTGATGATGGCCTTGACCTTAAAGGGTCTGAAACTGAACCATTGCTATGTAATAACCTTGACCCTGCAGTCTCACCCTGTGGTCCCCGTGATGATGGCCTTGACCTAATTCTATCTGGACTCTGTTGCTTTTCAAAGACATGAGAGTATTTTTTCATCAAATCCTGGTAAAAAGGAGAGGCCAAACGGGGATGTTTACTTGGTGATAGACCCCGTGTCTCTTTGGTTGCAGTAGCCATCTGAAGACAGAAAAGATACTCTTTTTATCAGTGGTTACTCTCTCTCTATATATATATATACAAATACTAGTATTCAATCACTAGTAAGTTGTAAAACATTCACTGATTTATTTTTTCTTAAACTCTCAATCCATGATCTTCCATGTGACTTAATAATGGCTTTAATAGAGGGAAAATGTCATTTTCTATTTCAAAGAATTTTAACAACTGCTATCAACATATGAAGCTGTATCTGCCACAGGGAGGTGAAAACATCTACAGCAAGTGTTTGAATCAGGGCAAAATATATGGCAGACATATTGTGCTCTATTGTAAACTACACTGACAAGTGGTGGTGTGTGGCAAATAAGAACCTAGACATAACTTTATACTTTACTTTTTAGGTATAGAAATTACTACAACAGGGTATCTAAAAATTCTTTTAAGGCACAGTTAATATTTTAATCAACACAAAAATGAGATAAGCTTTCATTTTACTCCCTTGGCACTGGGGATCATAGCTTTGGAAAAAAAGGTTTAATGAAACATATGGGATTTAATCAATACCAATGTCAATATTAAATTTCATGTATTTATCTTTGTTTTTCACCTCATTTTGTCTGATCACTCTACTGGGAAGCATATCAATGATAGTCTGATCAATAGACCTCTGTCAAGCAGTTAATGTAAATAGATATTGGGTTAATTAAAAACAAATATTTGAAGCTTAATACTTGGATATTGCCCAAGGGATAGACAAGAGTTACCTCAAGTCTGAAAAAATACATCATATTAAACAAATATACTACTTTTACATTCATTTTTTCTTTTGATCACTAGCTCAAGTACACATAGCTATCAGCAATTACTGCCATTAAAAACCATGAGAGTTTCAACTGCGTTGACCCTCTGCTCTGTGCACTTTCGCCACCATACTTCATCATTTTCTGACATATTGTGCAAAGCATAGCACACAGTTAAAGCAGGTCAACGGAAACACATGACAGCTCTATAAAGGCTGCCACCACTTTATAAATGAACTTGGATACATCAGAGCATGCTTTACAGCAGGTCGATGAAAGCATAGCTGACAGCTTCATAAAAGACTGCCACAGTTTTATAAATGATCGTGGATTTATTAAGTTGCTTGGATTTTTCTCCATTCATTGTGTGAATAATATTAATAGAAAGATATCATATTGGTTTTCTTTAGATATTTCCATGGACAAATAACTTCCTAATTGCTTATCATATTTAAGAGATCAAAATTAATAATACGAGATTTGACTCACTTAAAAAGATATTTTGTAGGGTGTTCACCAATATTGATCAAATCACTTAATTCTCCCAAACTAATATGCAAAAAATATCATTCTCAAGGCTACCATTAGCCAATACCAAATGCAAAATAAACCTGAAATTAGCTAACAGAAAAAAGGGAGCTTTTAAATCAATTTTTCACCAGGATAACTCTGATTTTGTGTAAATACAAATACAAATAACACTTTGTATATGACATGGATTTTCACTGTTATTAAAATATTTACATTACAAGAGTGGGCTTATCACAGTTCAATGTGTACCAGGGCAAATATTTATAAATCCATTTCAAGTCAAGAAATGTTAAATAATGTAATACTATTCTTGGAGACAGGAATTCAAATCAAATCACTATAACATCAACAGTCAATGATCCCTGTTACTGTTGTAGAACATGGTGTCTAGAAACTATATGCCACTGTGGATGCTGAAAACATAATTTCCAGACATGGTGCATCTTGGAAACACACAAGAATGCGAGTACCACTATTATGTATGTCTTGTTCTCAACATCTGTCACAGTGTAAGGCTTCGTTCACATGGAAAGTCTATTTTCTAAAAATCTACTTTCTATTCGCGGTATATCTTGTGATCACGGTCTGTGCCCTGAATGTCCCGCGGCGTAATTACTGGCAGCGCGAGCCAGTTACTGTAAGTTACTATAAATAACTGGCTCGCGCTGCCAGTAATTACGCCGCGAGAAATTTCAGGGCACAGAGCGTGATCATAAGATACCGCGAATAGAAAATAGATTTTTAGAAAATAGACTTTCCATGTGAACGAAGCCTAAGTCAGGCATACACACAATACTTGACAGCAAGGAGTATGCTTGGCAATGTTATATCATATACACTGCCCCTACTCGTTGTGTATCTATTCCTTAGAAATTTCATTGCATGTGACTGTCATAGAAGCACCCTTAATTTCAGAGTGCTGAAAGTGACTCTCCTCTCTGCAACTCTGGCTCTTTCTCACACTGTTCAACATACTTGATACCTACGGGTGCACTGTTGAAGACTATTGATATAAGCTTACCAAAGCAAACACATCCACTGCTACTTCACAGTCAGAACAAGAAAACCATATCAGCTCAACAACTCGCATTCTGGATACTAGATCAGAATTCAATGAGGGGATTAACTCAATATCTTTGTGGTTAAGTCCTTATCACTGTCTGATATAAATTTTTACACACAATCACTCAACTTTAGTAGACAGATTTTCAAAAATGTGGAAGATAAATACAATTTATTGTAAAAATTGTATTATTCATTCTGAATTGCAATACTTGTAAGTACATTAAATAATTAATGCTTTCAATGTTTCATGAATTGTCAAAATTCTAGTGTTAACCACTTGTCATTTTCCTTTTCTTCTTGCCTCATTGGTAAAACAGTTCAAAACTTTCTTGGAAAAAGATGAAAAAAATAAGTAATTACATTGCCTTATTAATTCAATTGATTAGCAGAGACCTTGATAAAAGTCACCACATAAATGAATTTATAAAAATATTGAAAGCCAAAGAATTGAAGTGTGTGTGTGTGTGTGTGTGTGTGTGTGTGTGTGTGTGTGTGTGTGTGTGTGTATGNTCTCTGATCCTTTAGTTTTTCTATTTATTTTCACACAATTACCCTAGATTGAACTGTGATATAACATTTTTTGTTCCATTTGCTTTAATTTTAAAGAGCTGTTGAATATTCAAAATTAAATCGATGAAAGTGAACTTCAAAAGAAATATTATCCATATTAAGCTCTTGGCTCTTAGGTATATAGAAGTGATGAGGAAGATGCAACAGACATATAACATGGAGCCTGCAGGCAGCCATGGCGTCTGGAGCCTTGATGATTATCAGTTCGTACCTTTTCTCTGGGGAAGCTCACAGTTACTAGGTAATTCTAACCTGTTTTGCCATTTTTTCTCCTCATACTGAATTTCTTAGAAAATTGATGAATTAATTTTATTCCCAGACCACTGTTTTAATTAAAGAAATAAAAAACACCTAAAAGAAGTGATCGAAGTGTACTAAAAAGTATTAGGGTTTTATGTCAGAAAATAATTTTTTGTGAATTAAACTAAATAAATTTATAATTGAAGTTTTAGAATAACATTCTCTTTTTCTTTTTCCAGATCATAAAAGAATTCACCCCAAATCTTTCCCAAAGCCAGAAGTATATGAATATTTTGCTAAGGACTACATGTTTTTAGGTTGTGTAAAGTTTATAAACCAGGTATTTTTTCAAATATTCCTTGCATTAATTCTTTTATTAATTCATTCATTCATTTTATCCTAGTGTCATGTGTATGTAAAACACCCAGCACTTTGTGATTTTCATATACAAGTTTGTTGTTCAAAACTTAACCAGTTGCCTCAATGTCTTTTTCATAACATTTTCCAAATTACCAGTGCTATTACTCCTAAGTCCAACCTCACTGCAGTGTAAAATTCAAAGAGCACATTCAGTACAAGTCGGACAAACTTAATATGGCAGACCCACTTGAAAGAAAGGACGACTTAGGGTGTATTCCAGAGATTTAGATCGATCCAGTGATTAAGAACTGTGCATGCTCACGATTTCGTGGAAAAGACTCTATTAAAGGGATTAAATCTCGGCTTCCGGGTTTAATTACAAGGCTCCTGCAGGGATGGCATATTTAGTCTGAGGATCTGTTAGGATCATCTGTTCTGAAACACTCAAAGTCTCCCAAAGACCACAATTGGGCTACCACTAAAAAGAAAAAAAAAATCCTTATGTGATTAATACTTTATATTTGTTTTGTATGCTGACTTTAACATTTTTTCTTCATCTGCATTTTATACTGATGACAACAATACCATTTCAATATTTAAAAGTATTTACGTAGTTAAAGGGATAATAACTCTTCGTTTCTGCCAAAAAATTAATTTTCCTGGAGTAAACAACAATTTTCCCATACTTACCAATGGTTAATGAATCCATTTTTATATTCAAAGTTAGTCCCTGTTTTTTTTCTAAAAAGTTTGGTTTTTTGTTAAAATCTCTTAAGAGATTTTAACAGAGTATAGCCATCAATGGAGGTCACGTGGTCTAAAGACGAGCTCAGATATCAGAATAATAGCTATAACTGATGTTCTTGTGGTAAAACAGAATATGTTATATTTCTATGAGTTATTTACAATGTTTTATATTGTGAAATATAGATCTCATACGAAGAGTTATTATCCCTTTAATGACTTACGATGCTACTTTTTATGAGTGTATATCTAAATATATAGAAAGCAAACTGTGTAAGGAATCTTGGACGAATCAGGTATTTGTATTTTTCCCACCCAGGTGAAAACGGGTCCGTTTGCTGAGCACTCTAACCAGCTGTGGAACATCAGTGGAGTGCCCCACTGGCATAAAGTGAACTCTGGACTTGTGAAAATGTACAAGGCAGAGGTATGTAAACAAAAATTTGAGTAGAACATGTTCGTAGACAGGAGAGTCTCAATGGAATCGGAGGAGGGAGGGGAATAAATCTTACGGGTGGGGAACTAGTCTGCTCTTAGTCATAATTTCGACTAACGCGCTCTTCCATTTTGCAACTTGGATCAACTGTAAAATGGCGGGGGGGGGGGGGGGGGGGGGGTAAAAAGGCCCCCTTTTTAAAAAAAAATTTATATTTGGAAAATTCCCCCCCCCGGCCCGTAAAAATAGGAAAAACTGGNATTATTCATTCTGAATTGCAATACTTGTAAGTACATTAAATAATTAATGCTTTCAATGTTTCATGAATTGTCAAAATTCTAGTGTTAACCACTTGTCATTTTCCTTTTCTTCTTGCCTCATTGGTAAAACAGTTCAAAACTTTCTTGGAAAAAGATGAAAAAAATAAGTAATTACATTGCCTTATTAATTCAATTGATTAGCAGAGACCTTGATAAAAGTCACCACATAAATGAATTTATAAAAATATTGAAAGCCAAAGAATTGAAGTGTGTGTGTGTGTGTGTGTGTGTGTGTGTGTGTGTGTGTGTGTGTGTGTGTATGTATCCGTGCACATGTATGTGTTTGTGTGTGTTTTGGAGAGGGTTATCCCAACATAAGAACCAACCAGACAAAATGGTGCAGGAACTGTCACAACGAGTCAGACACGAAGCATTTTCAATTACGACACAGATTGATGAACATCAGAAATCATGGGAACAACTATATAGCCCCATTTATTTTAAAATGTATACCCCTTTTTTATAAAATCATTTTTACCCTTTAATCATTTTTTGGTCATTTTACTCCAAGGTTGTTAATAGATTTAATGTTGACTTAAATATAATCATATGTTATTATTAATTAAATAAAGCTCAAAAGCTGTTGACAAAAAGGCATAAAGAGACTTTAGAGCTGGTCTTACTGATTCAAATGATTATATAGCAAGAAAAAAAAGGAATTATCCATAAAACTTTGTCTATTTTCTCATACATTCCAAGACATACCAACATGAATCTGTTGAGCAAATAAATATCAAATAATGTTTTTTGAGATCAACTCCGTTAAAAAAATTCGTTATTATTGTTATTTTCGTCTCGAGTTGATTTTCGCCATTTCTGTCCTGCAAGTGGTATTCAATCTACGAACTCATATTGGCTAGGAGCATGGGGACAACTGCTCGCAACATATTCTTTTTTTTTTTTTTTTTTTTTGGGGGGGGGGTAGGTAAGTTTGAAATTGTGACTCACTAGTTTATAGGGGTGACATCCTGAATTTGGAGACAGGAGACTCCAGACACTGACTGAGAGAGAGGAGTGTCCCAGTGACTTTCAATCTTTAATCAATTTTAAAATAGTATTTGATTCCTCACCTTTTATCTTCTTTGTGATCTACACAACCTGTCGATGGCTCATCACTTAATGAATACATCAAGTTAGTTCTTGACAGCCAAACATGGCTGTAGAAAAAAATCTCCACCGTTGTTTATCCTGCGCCCATTGCATCTACATGTTTCAATGACGTCACACGTACTTGCCGTAGCCTCGCAGAAAATGATGTCGAGGGCAACAGTTGATCAAAGAAAAAAATATATTTGTTAATGCAGATGGTAAAAAGTAGTCACATATTTTAAAAATAGTAGTTATTATAAGTATGATGTAGTTTTTTTTTAATTTTCTATCTCAGTTTTTTCCTCTGACCCTGCTTTGACCTGACGGGATGTGACCTATTTACGAACAGGACGCCTGGGCAAGACAAGAGAAGCAAGAATGTCATATCTTCCACACAGATTTTAACGGTCGAGATACCTAAAAAGGAGAGGAAAATGAAATTTGGGGAACACTTAGCTGCCCATACTACTCCAGAATGGCGGAAACAGGACATTCAGTACGAGGTAATATGTCGCAGAATCGCGGTGATTTCTGAAAGCATTTTTAGCGGGACCTTAGCCTTAGCACAGGCTGAGAATGAAAACGAAAACAAGACGTCAGTGTTGATAAAAAATTGTACATTTGAAATAATTGTTTCTCCTTTTGTTAAGGCCATCACACATACACGGTTCTCTTTTTCATATGCTCGGAATATATATATTTTAGACTTTATTGACAGTATTGTACATGAAAGTGAAACAATCTGAATATGATATCACAAATTTCAATGGCAATCAAAACCTACTGCCCCAGACGTGCAGTGGTCTTAGGTGCAATAATAATAATGACATAATCTACACAACATGCCTGCCCCATACTGATATTGATAATATGCAGTCTTACATTTACTTACACAATATCATCAATCCATCAAGACATCACTGTGTCCTCAGCCCATGCAAGTTGTCCCTGGAGATGAATTAGCAATTTAAGGACTGAATGAAAATAGCAGCAGTGCTTGGATTCATATTTACAAAGTAAATTAAAATGATTCGTATACAGAGCATCGAACAAGGGCATATCAATACGCAGATAATAGTACTAGTATTCTAGTATTGTTTGGCAGGTAATGATGCACAGAAGTAACAATGGGAGGAGAAGTAGCTATAGAGATCTAGATTATCCCTTTTATGAGATGATCACATCAGCACAGTTTATAGTATAGGAACATTTTGCACATACATATAATTGAAGCGTCAGTCTGCAACATTTGCCACTGGTACTACCCTTGTGGCAATAAAATTGTGTTTGGACCAGTAGATTTTTCAGGTCACTTTAGCAGTCTAGCCATTACATTTTTTCTATAGAAACTCTATACATTTATATTCTAAAGAGCTTTCTTTTTGATTTCATTTTTTTCATGTAACTCAGTTACATGATTAATTCAACAGAGAAAAACCTCTAGTTTTGATGAAATTTTTGTTTGGACCAGTGAATCCTAATTCAGATCAATATATTACTATAGGTAAACTGGTGGTTGTGAATGGCTAATAAAGCCTCGGTCACAACCGGACGCACAAATTTCAGGATCGCACGTCCCCTGCAATTTTTGGTTGTTGCGAAGGCCGTGGAGGTTGTAGAGGTAAAGGAAAGTCTGCCTTGCGAGTAGCAAGGGCCACATGAGATTTCCTTTCAAGCAGGGGCACTAATTGCAAGGAACGATGGCCGTGAAAATTGTACTCAAATGTTGAGTTTGTCTTGCGTGGGACGTGAGATTCTGCACAAAAATTGGACGTAAGAGCCCGTACGGCCGGTTGTGACCGAGGCTTAAGCTGAAAACTATGGCACAGATTGTAGCGTGCTCATGAAATGTAACATACAGTAACACTTTTTCTTTTTTGGTATATGCATAAGCAAATGTAAAAATGCGTTACCTTGCTTTTGTGATTTCTAGCTTAGCTTAATTTTTTTTTCTCCATGCATATACTCGATGAATATACCTGCCCCAATTTCATACGCTTAACTTTAGACCTTAACTCTCAGGCCATGGGCTTCCAGGTGAGTGCATTACTTTTCTATTGAAAAAAAGATGGCGATCTGTGCAATAGAAAAACATTTCACCAAAACGCATGACCTGGATATGATTGGATATGACTTTTGTGTTGAAAAGGTAGATCAGAATACAACCTCTTAATAGATAAGATAACATTCTTCATATCATTATGTGCTCCTTTCTATAGAAATGTAATATTTCACTATCCACAGAGCCAATGAAACTTTTCTCTCAGTTGTTGGAATATTGCAATATGATTGTCTTATTGTCTTTTCTTTTTTTCCCCATTAAATGTTAATGTCATGTAAGCATGAAATCTTTAGTTGGGTGCATATATCTATATTCCAAGGGTCTTTTGTTCAGAGGGAATTTTGTCATTTGTGTACTAGTAGTATTTGGTCTTAAAAAATATAGATACCTTCATTTTCATGCAAAAGGATATTTAACTTAAAAATACACAAAAGGAAAATTTTGCCACTAAACTTAAAAGATTTAAAGCCACGGTGTGCTGTAACACTTGTACAGGGCAGTAAAGTACAGACAGACTGACAGATGTATTATAAGTAAGGAGCACAATCAGTGATAGATGGCGCAAGTTGTTTGTTTACACAAACAGCCGTAAAAAGTGTCCTCAGGGCATCTGAGGTTTCGTTCCATTTTCATATTGCATGTTGCCTCGAAACTACTGCTTAATTTGAAAAAAATCGTGTGGATCCTAGACATAAGACCCTGTTTGATTCATAACAATCCTGAATTACATGTTTATATACATACACCACTGATGTAATTATTGAGTTAAAAAAGACTTTTAAATAGCATTTCCAGTTATCACGCAGATGATATAACCTAGCACATGCACAAGTTGTATCCAATATTCTGGTTCAATGGGTTTGTTCAGATTCTTTTTGTGTTTGTGATATTTACTACTTGTACAGATAGAATGTATCTTGCTTTGTATAATCATGTTGCTTTTAGAAAATAAGTAAACTCATGTTTTGGGGGTTCATTTTGGGTGCATATTACTTACAGCAAAGGCTTATTCTTTAAAAATTATGTGGTATTGTGGAGTACAAAGTATTGTTTTTTATGAAGAATTATTTGTATTTTTTCAGACCATGAAGGAAGCTCTTTACGAGTGTGTAGAAGGGGTGCCATCAGCAGAAGGTAATATCAAGTAGATACAATGTTTGGAGTGTTGCAGTAATCTTCATCATAATGATATTTACAAGTTTACTGTTTGTGGATTTTTGATGGCATAAAAACATCTTTGTTATGCCAGGGCCTGAAAACTTCAAAGAGTGTTAAATGGATAGAATGTTGCCGCTTTGTCTTCTGGACTTGCTAATTTCAGAAAACATGAGCCAGCAGGGAGCCAAATTCAATTCACTTACTCTATTCCTTGCATCTTTTTAACGTTTTGATGGTCATAAAAGAAAAGTTTTGTAGTGTACTATACAATCAGCTAGTTATTCAGATGCGTTTTATCTCAAAGTTTTATTTTTCAGAGGTCGACCCAGAAACCATTGAAAGATATTATGCCAAATTTGATGAAAAATTCCTACAGAAATGTGACAAGGAGCTCAAAAAAATCAACACATTTTTTGCAGGTTTGTTTCAAAATAGAATTCTCCATTTGCGCGTATACTTCCAGGTCCCATTACATACTTAGATAATTAACAATTTTTGAAATGTCATTAAAACTTAATTACATTTATCAAAGACTATACCTTTAATCCTTTGGTCATAGTATGGTCACATTTTATCCATGTAGACATAAAACAAATTGACTGCATTCTGTTTTCAGAAAAACTAGCAGAAGCAGTCAGAAAGTATGAAAGTCTTAAGGCTGAGCTGGAGGCTTTCAAACGGATCCACATGGCAAGCCAGGAGACCAATTTGCGGAGACGAAAACAAGGTGGTCAGCTTCAGGGACTGCTTAAACTCCCAGCACATGTTGTGCAAGACAAATCTGCCAAAACAACAAGGAAAATTCACGATTTAAAACTGGCCTACAGCGAATTTTACTTGAGTCTCATCTTGTTGCAAAATTACCAGACTTTGAATTTTACAGGATTTCGTAAGATTTTAAAGAAGCACGACAAGGTGAGTAGAGTCCTATTCTAATGGCACAACTATGCTGTAAGAGTTATGTTTCAAACTCTTAAAAGTTTGGCTTACTAGTGAACATGTCATCAATGACAGAATGGGCCATTCAGAATGTCAGGCATTTGATTGTGACTGTCACAGTGGACCTCAACATTTTTGTTAGAGAGCAGGTTAAACATGAATTATGCTAGTATAGCAACGTCAAAATAGACATGGAAATAATTCTCAATCGTACACTGAACAAGCTGATATATTTTCTATGTAGACATTTTTGTTTGTGAAATTTTTACTGAATTGATTTAAATTATACAGACATAAATGGCATCATATAGTGATGATGATATACCTACAATTTCAGTTATTACTTTTGACATTTTGGTGAGTCATTAAGAATTGAAGGATCTAGAACCATAGTCAGGGGGAATATCATAGAAACACTGTTGTTCAAGGCACATAGATGACCATAATCAATAACAATCTGATTGATACATCCAAAAGAAAATTTAAACTTTCCATCTGTTTGCTAGATGACTCAGGAGAATTGCAGTTCGTTTAAAAAACCTTTGAGTCAGTGTGCCATGAACAAAATTCTATACTAAATGTTTATATATATGTGTATTATAAGCAGTTTTGTGTTGTGGAATGTATGACAAGATGTTTACAGGCCTGGTTCATGTAAGAATTACTCTTCTTAAATTAATACCCATTTACTAATTTGTCATGTATTAAATTAATCCAAAATAACTGCATATTTTAAACCATATTTGCTTCATGTGGAACAAATATTAATTTGTAGCCAAGATATTGTTATAATTGTCCTCAAAGGATGCATGGGGTTTATTATTCAAGTGAAGGATCACAACATTAAAATATTACATAACTGGGTTATAAACGGGAACGGGTTAAGTTACGGGGTTAAGTTAAACAAAGGGCACAAAATGTGGGAGGGCTGGATAATTAATGTAGAACACAACATCCATTGCTCAGCCTAGGGGCCAATTTCATCTCTCCCTAAAAGGAATTTCAGACCAAAAATTGGTCTAAGCTTTTAGACAAAAAATGTCTACTTCAGTTTGATATAAGTCCAAAGTAGTGCACTAACACAAAGAAAGTATTGGTATGAAACTTTAGCCTCAACTTTCTTGTTTAAAAAAGGTGCAGTGTTTACTTTGATTGAATTACCCCTGATTTGAAAAATAAACTTAAGACCAATATTCAGGTTCAATTTTTTTTTGTGAATTATGCCTTCAACTCCTGTCAAGCTGCCTATGCACCTGTATCAAAGGGGTTTTAAGTATTTGTAGTTAACCCGTTCCTATTTAGAGCCATGTATTAGTATTTTGACCCAGACTTATGTTGGTTATAATATTGATTAGTGACCAGAGGTAATTGCATTGGTACACAGGAAATAGAGAGAAACAGAAATAGATCGGTTGTGAAAAGGGCATGTTTAGCTGCAAGTAGTTCAGGTATTAATTGCACTGATATACATCTTCATATTAGTAGAAAGCATTCTGTTAGTTTTGTTGTCTAACAACACAAGGCAAATTGACCTTTGATTTTACATATATTATTTTATCTTTTTTTAAGAGTTCATTAATGCTCAGTCTCAAGATGTGAAATAAGCACTCAAATAACTCCCATGATACTGAGGCCTAATAATATTACATGAATGAGGATAGCACAGTACCCTTCAATTAAATCATTTGTTGTAATAGCATTTGGTAAGCACCAGACCACAGACATATGGAAGAGTGATCTCATTGTGGTAGGTAGGACTCCTCTCATTGTGTTTAGCTGAGACTGAAAAGAGTTGGGCATGCTCAAAATTAAGTAGTGCACTAGTTTTACTCTACCCTAAGCTTTATCTCAAGTTGATTGAAGGAATTGATCAGAGTATTCAGTTTATTGGGTCACATCAGTTTAGTTTTACATGTATTTCTACCATCTGTAAAGAGTAAGTTTGGTCAAACATTTATGAGTTCGTTATACATACCTATCATTGTGAATCACTAGAAAATGATATTGTGATACACATGTTTTAAACCGAATATAAATGCATGAAAATGACCAGACCTCCATTATTCATGTAAATCACCATTTTATATTAAAAAAGGATTGGCTAAATAAAGTGTAAACTATCATATGGGCATAAATCTTTGTTTAACCAAACCAACTCTTTAAGCACAGCGTGCCAGGTTGGACATAGTACTGATTGAACTCTTTGACCACTTTGCTGAATTGTTTGCCCAAGTGTCTCACACCATCTGACCCCTTCTTTGTGCTCATCCTCTCCCTATCTCTCATTATTTATTTTCTATAGAACTTCGCTGGCCCAACAAGAAAAGGGTAAGAGGGTCAGACAAAAGGTTTGTGTGCTCTCCTTCTCAAACATTAGGTGCATAAAGATTGAACTTTTATGGGGTTAAATTTTCTGTTTCCAACCATTACTCTACTTTCCCCTAAAGAAGGTATGTAATGAAAAATATAACTTTTTACCAACAGATTTCAAGCATCTTGCTTATTGCAATGTCTTATTTATTTACTTGAAAAGATTTATCTATTTTAGTTACTTAGAAAAAAAAAGATGTACATTCTAATATGAACCCATCATAATTTTCCATAATGATAAGCTGAAGTCTGCATCTCGTAAGATTAAAAGTGCTTGTTGTCCCATATAGAATGTGAAATTCAGTGATTTAAAATCCTATTTTATTCCATTTAGTAATTACGTAGGCCTTCACCATGGCCACATGAAAGCCTGTGGTCCAGCACTTTCACCTAACATGAGCCAGATAATAATCAAACCTGAAGTGAACCTTTACCAGTCATGCTGCTTTAATTTCTGCCATCTGAGAGCTCCGGAGATTCACTCATGATCACCCCATAGAACTGAGCACATACCACCATGTAGTTTCTGTGATGATTTAGATATTTAGATAAGCTTGGCGCTTGACTGGCGTGTGATTCAAGTCGGCCATAGAGGCACCTGTTTGATTGATTTACTATGGTCAGCTCCTAACTTCATCGTCTTCTTTGTTTAGTTTTCAGTACTATTTGATAGACCATATGTGATGTATATATACATATGTATAATGTAGACGGATGATATAGGATCTTTGATGTGGGCTGACCAGCGTAACCAACAGGTCCTATTATGTGAGGATATGATAAGAAATAAATGAATGATTTGTAGGGACTCTCACTTTGCAGAATTAAATTTTGGGAAGAACATTGTCAGATGACCCACTACGTGAGACTAGGGGCCCCTTCCTTCTTTTTGCAGGTAGATTGATTTTTTTTTTTTCACCAGTGAGGCAGATTAATTAAGATTGTATTTCTTGTCATAGATGTTTTTTCATGTAATTAATTGAAAACAGCTGAAAAAATAATTGAAATAGGGCAATATTATTTGTAAAATAGAGCTTAATTAAATATTTATTTATGTAAAAAGGTCAATAGATATATTTATGATAAGGTGAGAGAAATAAGCAAGTGCAGGAACAAAGATCTGTAATGTAGACTGTATGTTTCAGAGAATTCTGCATTTTTTAATTCGATTCTAATGGTTCCTGAGATTCNTTTTTTTTTTTTTTTTTTTTTTAACCTAAGCTCATGTTTGATATCTGCAAAATTATAACAATGACAATAATTATCTGCAATTGCTACTCTTTGGTTTGAAAAGTGAGAGGTCCATCAGGTTTGAGATGTGCAAGAGAAAATTGGCCGCAATTCTTATGTGAGGCCAGTCAGTGCGAAAGTTCTAATGCCTGTGCTCTATGGTAGTACTTGCCACACCTTGAAAGATTATAGAGATGTATGACATGCTGTCCATTTCTGTCCAGCTGCACAATGCATTCAGAATGGTTTAGATAGCTGGTGAACTAAAGGTGACAAGAATGGCGACCAGGGATCCAGACACTACTTTCCTCAGTGAAATATTCATTTTAGTAAGATTTCTGTTTCTTAACTAATGCCAAATTTTTTTTCCTGTAATAAATTTTTATTTGGAAGATATTTCAGTTTGTTAAGCTGACAATCTAAACTGTGAGTAATAGACCAGTAGAAATCCTATTGTTTTTCTCCTTGAAGTAGAAACTCAGATTGGCATTTCTACTCTTACAATCATTTTACCAAATTGCACTTTGTGATTCTTCCATCTACTACTTTGGCAGGAAGAAACCTGGGAGATGGGGGGGGGGGGTCATACATTGTGACAATTAATTATTTAATTTTACAAGTTAGTCAAACAATTCTTTAAAGTATGTAAATGTATGAAGATATTTAGTGTGAATATCCTCTCTCAGTTGATAAAGTATTTTTCATAGTTGGACGTTATCCAGGGGGCTATCCAGGTAACTAAATTATCTGATCATGCAGTGTAACACAAGTGATGAAAGTGCCATGACGCAGGAGGGAAAGGCTCACCACATTAAGTCACTTCCTAATATGTAATTTGGTCTTTAACCTACCCCCCTTCTCCCAGATAAGTGAAATATTCATTTATTCCCTTTAAAAATAAATGTAAAAATAAATCAAAAGATTTTTTTTTCTGTTTGATAATTATGTTATTTATTTAGTGGTATTGTTTTGGGTGATAAATTGGATTGCATCTAATGCCTCAATCTTGGACATGTCTGAAAGTTTGATGATTTGAAGTTCATTGATCTGAAAGTAAAGTTTTTATGGTTGAAAACATTTTCTTTTCTTTGTAAGTTCAGGTCTGCTAATTTCTCTGTACAAACACACATAATTTAAATCTGGGGTTTCGCTATTACGAAAAATTGAGACCATGAATAAGGTAGAATATATATATTTCCTTGCATATAAATCAGTAGTATATGTTTCTATTTGAATTTTGGTATGGTCCCTTTGTTGATTAAGCTTGGACAGTAACTTATTGAGAACTCTTGCATCTCACTTAAATTTTTTGTCCTCAGAATAAAACTAGCGAAGTGTTTTTGTCCTTGGAATACCTATCTATAAAAGCTATGCAAATTTAGCAGAAGATTATAGTTCATAACATCTTTCTGTTGGATTGAGCATAGTTCTCTATTGCTTTCTGATCAACCAAAACTGTAAATTCCAAAATGAAAATTTTGGAGACATTTTTGTTCAAAGACAGAGAGTGGCTTTGAACTTAATGCTGGTTTTGTTTAAGATAGGCATTGCATATTAAAAATTGTCCTCTAAAAGCTCATTTTCCAAGGTATTAGTGGTTTTGGACTCTGCCGAGTAGTGAAAAACATCATGACTGTAATACAAATTGTGGATCCAGAGGGGTTGTTTAAAAGTGTTGAAAATCTAGGTTTTAAGAGCAAATGTGTAAGCTGGATTAAACGGACATTTAAACACAAAAGAGAAAAGGCTAGGGTGCTGGACACAGTTCTGAGTTCAACTGTGAAGAAAGGCCGGTTGGTCACAGAGGTGTGGTTGGTGAGTACCAGACAACTTAATTGTATTCTTAGAGTTCAATCTGCTCTGTCTGGTCACGGCAGACACTATGAGTCTGCATGTATATATTCTGATCACTTTGTCCTTCCTATTTTTTTTTTAACTTTGAATTTGCTGAGTAGCATTGTTTGTTTAAAAATGATTTATTAGGTCAGATAATTTTTATAAAAAGTTAATGATTTTATTTGCATGTATTTTGGCATCATTCGCCCCATAAGAGCTAAACAATATTTTTGTTTTACCTAAAATTTGCTGAATTGCTTACTATATGTAAGGCAGGTCTCCTTCAAAAATTTAGACTTTAGTAGATTATTTTTTACAAAAGTTATTGTTTTTTAAGGTTTGTTTATATCTTTTTTGATTTGATTTGATGTTAGGTGTCTGTATATGTGCAAGTTTTGCTGTCCAGTTCTAGATTTTATAACCAAGACTTATGGAATAAAATTATTTGCTAAGTTTTATAAAGCTGTCTGATTGTAAGACAGTAAAAGTTGTGGTTACTTATCCTTGTGGACCAGTAGTGACCTGCCATTGGACAATGTGATGTAATGCTCACCCTTTGATGTGTGCCAGTGCAGCCATGAAGTCTGGTGTCCAGATGTTAGATTAAGTTCAGAAGGGAGACTCCCAGTGATATAGCCAGCAAGTACTTGGTTATAAATATGCTTTATTCATTGTAACGTATGCATCTACATGGATAGATGAAAATGTACAAAGGAATGCAAATATATATAAATATGAATTATGATCAATAGTGATATTGTATGACTCCTTGTATGAAAAAAAAAATACAAAACATATTTGGCGGAGCCCAAATAGCTCTACCTACTCAACTGGTTATGGGTGCAGCACAGTCCCTTTTTTGGAAGGCTAACCATAAATACTTGGCAAGAGCAATAATATGTTCTTTATTCTTACCAGTCATTAGGGTTTTAAATTTAAGTTTGCAACAATAATTCTGGATAAACATAATTGTAATTTGCTCCTGGAGCACTGTTGTATTTGTATATAGTCACTCTAGTGATTGACATTTGGGAGGCAATTAGGAAACATTCTCATGTGCCTCTTAAACTCCACTGGACAGAGACAAATGAGTTTGAATTACTGGGACATACACATCTTATGCCCCATATGGTGGGAAGGAGTTTATTGTGCCAGTTTGATTGTGCACACATATTGTCTGCCTCATGGTAGCATCAAGAATCTTAGCAAGTTGCCGTGGAACAGTAAGTTTAGCTATGGGAAATGCTTTTTAATTTGGTCAAAACAGATCAGAATAACCTTGGATTTGGATTGTTAAGAAGAGATTCCACATAAAGAATAAGATGAGTCAAAAGTGAGCATTGGTTGTTGTTTTGTTATAAGTAATGAAGGGATAAGATTCTAGCCAGCTTTTAAGTATTTCCTTCATTTGTCATCCATGT